AAAAATAAGACAGAAGGAAGGAACTAATATTCAGAATGCAATGGGATGTGAGGAAAAGGGTTGCAGTAATCCAGTGAGAGGCAACTACAGCAAGAGAAATACATTAGAAAGTCAGAGATGCTATGAAGGTCAAGTCGATGTTATGTTTAGCTATACAAGCTAAAGGAGAGGGCGTAGATTTGATTCCAACATATTTCTCATGGTGAAAAATAGCAACAACAAATTTGGTAGACAGGATTTTGGATCACTTGAATTTAGGTGTTTATGATAAGTAGAAATCCCCAGAGATCCTTTATAAAATGCTAATTAAGGGACCAGCAGTTGGCATAATGGCAATGTCACTGGACTCCCATGTAGTCGACCGTGGTTCGAGTCCCGGACCCAGTGGCTTAAACTCACACCGGGTGTGTGTGTGTGTGCCCAAGATCCCAAGAGGAAAATGGAAGAGAAGGGATTGCGTTGTGACCATTCACCCTGGGGGGGCGATTTCTTGCTTTCTATCTCTTTGTCTCTCTCTGTCTTTCTGGTGAGTGCACGCCCCCTATTGTAAAAACCTCTCAGAAAAAAAACGCTAATTAATTGCTCGCCCTGTCTTGTGTGTAGTTATACATATGTGGCTTATGTTTACTGTAATGAGAGCTCTCCTAAGTAAAGAACTCCACATAATCCATCTTTTCATTTTCAGAGAAGAGGGCCTAAAATATAACCCCTGTTAAGTGAATGCTAGTGAACTATACACAAATCCAACTTGGTCATATGAGAAATTCATAGAAATGCACTCCACTCTCTGTAAGCTATTGTTCCCTACCTGCCACTTTCTAATTTCCAGCCAGAGAGAAGATGAAGAAAGAAAGAGGAAAGAACAGGAAGATCAGAGAAATGCTGCAGAAAATGGTTCCAATGGCGGTGGAGGAGGGAAAGCTCAGGTGAGGGCAACCTCTAATTTCTATCATCAGAATGAGCTCAACTCATTGACTGTGGAACTAGGACCTAGCCTATAATAAAGGGAATGAATGGAGTACCAAGTCTGCAAAGGGCCTTGCGAGAACAGAGGAGTTTCCCCTTGAGCTTGCAGGATAAGATAGCAATTTGTGGCCTCTCTATAGCTTTTATAAACTTGGAAATAGTTAATAATATGATGGCATTTTTCCAGTTTCCTGACCTTGATTTTAGAAGTTTAGCCATCAGGACTAGTAGATAGCATAATTGTTGGAATTACTTTGCTAGACTTCCACGTAGTCGACCCTGGTTTGAGTCCTGGATCCAGCAACTTAAAACTCACACCAAGTGTATGTGCATGATGCCCAAGATCCCTAGAAGAGAGTGGAGGAGAAGGTATTACAGAGTGGCTTTCCCCTTGGGGGATGATTTCTCGCTTTCTAACTCTCTGTCTTTGTCTCTCTGGTGAGTGCACACACCCTATAGCAAAAATTTCTTAAAAAATAAAAATAAAAAAGGAAGTCTAGCCCTTGTGTCAATAGTTGTTCTCAATAACATCACACAATCACATACTCTTCACTTTCTTTTACTATTTCTTTTGCTCTGGATGGAGCCACTGTTTTTTGTTTGTTTGTTTGTTTTTTGTTTGTTTTATTTCCATTTTTTTAGTTCATCTATTCATTTCTTCCTTAAGAGAGATTAATAGCGAGAGCCCCAACAGAGTCCTTGCACTATGATACATTGTGGTCTCGGCTGTCCTAGATCATGGGTAAGCGAGCATACTCAGTGTGCTCAGGGAGGTTCTGGGACACAAACCCAGGACCATCTCTTATGGAATCAGTTCTGTCACCGGTTCACCACCAGCTGACTTCCGGAGTCACTTTTTTGAGGTATCTTTTCCATTGAGCCAAAGAGGGATCATAAGGTAAAAGTACATGTTTTGGAATCAGATAGTTTGGGGAACAATTCCATTGCTACCTCTTGGACTTAGGAACCATTGAGCAAATTAGTCTTGCTGAACTCTAGCTCCCCTTATCTAGCAGTGCTCTTACAGGAATGAAGTAAAATAATTTAGGCAAGGACTTGGCGCATTTTTTCAGATACTTTTAAGTGACAACAGAACATGTTAAAGTCACTCCTTGGATATATGAAAATAGTTTTATAAAATTATAGCTTCCTTATTTGTATTCTTAAGACCCAAGAATATCAAGACCATTTCTTAACTTCCAAATTGGACATAGACCAAATATTTACCTTTGATGAACTCCAGTCTTTCTGCTTTCTATCTTTTCTGCTTAAGGGGGCTGAGTTTTACTCTAAAGAAATGGATTTGTGGGGCCAGCATGTGGTGTAGTGATTAAGTGCTGGACTACTACATGGCCAAAGGAGATTCAAGCCATAGACTTCGCAGCTTGAAAATTACATCAGGCACATGTGTGCCCAAAATCCCAGGAGGAGATTGGAGGAGAAGGGATTGCAGTGTGGCCATCTCCCTTGGGGATGATTTCTCACGTTCCTTCTATCTCTCTTTGTCTCTCTCAAGTGAGTGCACATGCCCTATGACAAAAGCGTAAATGAAAAAAAAGAAAAAGAAAAGGAAAAACAGACAAACAAAGAAATAGGCTTGTTTAGATTTTTTGCTTTCCTTCACTCTAATTTTGTCAGGCCTATCTTCCTTGACATTCACAGAATGTTATGCTTTTTCCTAGAATATTTTCCCCTTTCAACTACATCAGAGGGTAACACTATTTTTATTTTCTGTAAAAAGCTGTATAGGAAGCATTTTAAGCATTGCTGCAACTATTCAACTCTTCTATTGTTGTGGGAAAGCAGCCATAAATAATATCTGAATAAAGGAGTGAGGGCATGTTTCAGTAAAACTTTATGTGTAAGTATAGGTACGTGGTCAGATTTGACCTATGGAGTATTTGTCAACCCATGATCTATGCTATTAAATTCTAACCATTGTTATAATTTTCCTATGTGGTACCTTAAAACCAACATTAGTAGCCATGACAATTGAACCCTTATAACTAGAATATGGACTTTTTTTTTTTAAAGTTTTGGCCATAGGACACCTGCACTCACCAGAGAATGATACAAAGACACTAAGAGGGAAAGTGAGAAAATATCCCTCAGGGACATGGCCCCACCACAATCCCATCTCCTCTGTTCTCCTCCCAGGATTTTGGGAACACATGCATGTGCACCCGGCATGATTTTCAAGTCCCCCTATCTGGGAATTGAACCATGGTCAGCCATGTGGAAGTCTGGCTCCTCAACCACTATGCCTCCTACTGACCCAATAATATAGATAATTCTAACTCCCCTCTTTTTGTAGATAGCAATTCTCAATGTATATTTCTCATTGGGGAAGGTAGACAAAAAATGGTCTTACTCAAATTGTTTGGCAAACTTAGTAACAATAAAACAGACTAAGAAATCCAAGAACCCTGCTTCCTACTCTCTTCTCAGGACCAATGTGCTGAGTTTCGGGAACATATGAAAAATGGAAAACTCAGCTGTACTCGGGAGAGTGATCCTGTCCGTGATGCTGATGGCAAATCCTACAACAATAAGTGTACCATGTGCAAAGAAATACTGTAAGTACATGTTTAAAAAAGAGTCATATATTCTTCCAGAATTAATGGCTATTTCTCATTTCCTATGTCTCCCTCAATGAAAACGAATTTTTTAGAGTTAAATCCCAAATGTTATTTTCCTCTTGCATCTCCCCCAAAATAATGAGCCCCAGTGAGGGTAACTAGTGAAGTGGCTGTTTCTGTTACATTTTCCATCATGATTTTATCACCTCTCAATGCCATCATGATAGACAACTGTTCTTTGCACTACATTGTACCTGAATCCTGAGAAAACTTTGTGGCAGTCATTTGGAATATTGGCCAGTGATACAGTTAAAGAGAGCTACTTTATTTTCATAGATACAGAATTCATTTATTGCATAATCTGAGGTCTACTTCTTCTATTGATTTTCCTTCGGTTAATGGTACTGAACTGGAGTGCTTCGTGACCCAGCTCAGCCACTTGTGATTTTGTTATCATGGCAAATATTAGGTCGTCAGGAAAGTTGATGTATTTTTCTGTTTTCCTATGCAAAAATGTATCTTGCCTTTCCCACTGACCCAATAACATGACCACTGTTTGTCCCACCTGTAAATGGAATGAATCTTCTTCCCCCTTTCAAAGTTATTTCTTTCTTTCATGAGAAAGAGACAGAGACAGACACTCTCAAGAGGGTCTCAGCTGGCCATGATCTCCCAGCAGTCCTATGGCCAGCCAGGATTGTTCAAGTTGATCCAGAATCTAAATCCTGAGCTTTCCTGGGTGGCTCCAGAATCGTGCAGTGTGCCCCATTGCTTATGCCACCATGGATGGCCAAATTGAGATCATTTTCTAGGTCACCTTGAAGGGTTTTTATAAGTTCTAAAACTCATCACAATGCTACTAATTATGGCATTTAACTAATATGTATTTAATGTCTCTCCCTGCACACACATATTCTTCACATTTCACCCTAAAAAATAAAGTACAGTCCTGAAGCAGGACAGGCCATGTGAGAAAATCAAATGCAAATGCTGCGTTTTACTGATGAAAACCACTGAAATTGTTTGTTCAAAGTCTCATGGGGAATGGGATTCAAAGATAAAGCTAGGGGACCAGCAGATGGTGTAATGGTTATGTCACTGGACTCCCACATAGGCAGCTTGAAAATTCATGCCGGGTATATGTGCATGTGTGTCCAAAATCCTGAGGGGAAAATGGGGAAGGATTGCGGTGCAGCCATCCCCCTTGGGGGTGATTTCTTGCTTTGTGTTTGTCTGTATTTCTCTGTCATTCCATGAGCACACGTGTCCTATAGTAAAAATCTTTAAATAAATAAATAAATAAATAAATAAAGCTAGAATCCAGTTTTCCTGAAAGCTAGCCTAGTATTTTTTTTCCTATTATTAAAATTCGTCAATGGAAAAAGAATGATTGGGCAGGGCAGTGTTAGGATTTTAATATCAGGTGGCTATTTCAGCTCCATTCCCTTCATCTGGTTGTCTCTTTTTTAGGCTTCAATCTGTTCATATTTTAAATGGAGGAGGGTAAGAACCAGCAAGTAGTGTAATGATTAAGGTGATAGACTACCATATGGCCGACTGTAGTTCAAGTACTGGAACTGGTGTTTTAAAAATCATGCTGGGTATATTTGTGTGTGTGCCCCAAATCCCAGGAGAAGTGTGAAGAAGGGATTATGGCATGATCATCCCCTCTGGAGGATTGATTTCTCACTTTCCCCCTCTCTGTTTCTCTATGGTGAGCACATGCACCCTACGGCAAAAACTTTAAATAAATAAATAAAATGGAGGAGATAATCACAGTAGCCACATGTTAGAATAATAATAATAATAATAGCAATAATAGCAATAATCACAGTAGCCACATATTAGAGTTAAATGAGATGAGCCACGTAAACTCTTAGTACAATGCCTGGCTCGAAGTAGGCATGCAATGAATGTGAGTTGTTGCTAGTAGTGCTATCATTGGTATTCAGTAAATATTCGATATAACTATTAGCAATAACAAATAATGAGTCATATTATGATCTCTTATACCTATCATTTAACTCCTCTGCATAGCTAATATTTGTAGACAGAATAAGCATAATTGAGACAGCTCTTCACCTATGAATTTCTTCCTGTATCACACATTAATAGTGGATAATTTTGTGAAATGACAATGATTCTCCAGTGCCCCAAATTATCAAATGGAAACTTTGTTTTTATTAGATCTTTTCTTAGACTATTTAACAGAATACAAGAAAAATGAATTTTTCTTTAAACAATCTTGGAAACAGTTTAATCCCCCCCAAAACAGTTTTTGATTACCTCTTACTTGACAGGAAACTCTTTTTTAAATTTTCAATTTGCTTTAGAGATTTTTTTCTTCTTGTTGTTGTTTTGCCATAGGGCTTGTGTACTCTCTGGAGAGAGACAGAGAGAGGGAAAGTGGGAACTCTCCCTTTTCCCCTCAGGAATATGCCCACACTATAGTCCCTTCTCCTCCATTCTCCTCTTGGGATTCTGGGAACGCATATACATACACCTGGTGTGATTTTTAAGCTTTCAAGTCCAGGGCTTGAACAGTGGTCAGCCATATAAGAGTCCAGCACCTTAACCACCATGACACCTGCTAGCCCATTGACTGGAGCTCTTTATAGACAAGTACTCCTCAAGTGAACAAGACAAAGTTTCTGTCAGTGTGGAACTATAACATAATGTAGTGAAGACATATGGGAGACAAATACACAAATAATTATATAACACAAGGCTACATGATAGTAAACAACTTGAGTAAGGCAGCAGAAAGAAACTAGAGCTGCCATTTTATTTTTGGTGTTCTGGGTCAGTCTGGCAAGTGAGGGAGACCTATAAACATGACTGAGGTGAGCCATTTAGATATCTGAAAAAAGAAAGCTTCAGGCAGAGCAAGAGTAAGTGTAAAGTCTGAAGGTATATATAAAATTAGGATGCTCAAAGAAGAGAATGAAGGTCACTATATGCTAAGATTATTGAGTAAAGAGGAAATGAGTTTGGAAAAACTATAAGGTTTTTTTTAAGATTATGACAAAACACTGGATTTCTATGTGTGATCAGAGAGGCTTTGGGAGATTTTTGAGTAGAGTTATGACTGTAAATTAAAATTCTATAAAACTGAATTATTACAGATGCCTTTTTTGCTTTAGTCGTTAACTTAATTAAAGTTTTATGACTTCAAATTTCTTTGAAACTCCAGGATGTTTTACTCCCCATACCTATTTCTTAAACACTCAAAAAGAACTTCCTATAAATAGTTTGTACATCATATATATATATATAATATACATGTTTATGAATATAAAATGCATACATATGCTTTTCTTTGAGTGAAAACCCAAGTGAAACTTTGAAAGAAGTAATATAAACTGGATTTTTGTGGCATTTGGATCTTGGGTCAACGGTATCAGAATCCCTTTGCTTGCTTGCTGAAAATCCGGTAACTGAGCTGTAATTCAGATCTTGTGAATAAAACTGTTGAAATTGTCAGTGAACCTGAATTTTTAACAGTCTCTCAGGCGATTCTTAATGTATACTAAACTAAAAATCAAGGAACCAGAATGGAGAGTTGATGGGAGATTAAAAACTATAACTTACAATGAAAAAGTGGGGAAACTGAGAAAGCTGAACTCAATGACCTGAAACTTACCTTTAAATAGCTGTAGGATTAACCTTCGTAAGAGGTAATAGATTCAGCAGGCTTGTTCTGCATTGTTCTGAGCACATGAAATGGATGGAAGTTACAGAAAAATAAGTCTGGGCACAAATAAAGAGACTTTGTGATTACCTGATCTGCTTCTACTTTGTGATGAAGGAGCTACCTTTACGAGGGCCTTAATAATCCACCTGATTGTCTAGGTGGTGAAGTGCAGAGAGAGTCAATATGAAGGTTCAGGATACATAAACTTGTAGGTATCTCCCAACTTGAGTATGTTTTTATGAAATGATTATTGATTCTTCACTCTTCCAGGCAAAGAGAAATAGAAGAAAAAAATAAGCATTCTGGCTTAAGATCAAATGAGACCGGATCAGCATCAGGAAAGGTGAGTCATTAGCTTGATTTTGGTAAGAATGGTCTTTCACGTGGACATCCAAAGTAAGGACAGAGGGTATCAACGTAGTCCTCTGAGATTTTGCCCTTAGTAAATCAGAAGACAACATTAATATGAATATCAAAGGTGACTTGTTCAGTATAGAAATCTAATGCCAAAAAGAAATCTTTCAGTGTATCACTTTATGAAGTGCTTTTAAAAATAGTACTTTATTTAATTCTTTCAACAATCTGGTGAAATAAGTGTTTTTAACCTTATTTTAAGTTAGGCAAGTTTAAGAAATCCCTTTAGTCTTGGATGAAAATCTTCTGATCTCAAATCAAATCAAATATTATGTGAAAACAGCATTTTGAATTTAATCTCTCCTTTTTTTCTTCCAGGATGTATGTGATGAGTTTAGAAGCCACATGAAAAATGGACAACTCATTTGCACTAGAGAAAGTGACCCTGTCCGAGGTCCTGATGGAAAGACACATGGCAATAAGTGTGCTATGTGTAAAGAGAAACTGTTGAGTATATTTCAAAATGAATTTCTTTTCACTGTGAGCCTTAAAGTATAATAATCATTTCTTATAAATATGAGAATAATGGTAATCTTTTTGGAGAGGGTTTTTTTTTTTTTTCGCTATAGGGTGCATGCACTCGCCAGACAGACAGAGACATAGAGACAGAAAGCGAGAAATCACCCCCCAGGGGGGATGGTCACGCCGCAATCCCTTCCCCTCCATTCTCCTCTCGGGATCTTGGGCACGCACGCACACGTGCCTGGCATGAGTTTTAAGCCACCGGGTCTGGGACGCGAACCGCGGTCGACTACGTGGGAGTCCAGCGGCATAGCCATTACGCTAACCGCTGGTTCCTAGAACAATGGTAATCTTTTAAAAAGTGGAGTTAATAACTAAGAAGGTGTTTGTTTACTTTGAAACATTTCTTTCTATCTTTTTGTCCAGGGAAAAGGAGGCAGCTGAAAGAAAAAAGAAAGAGGATGAAGAAAAGAAACACACTGGAGAAAAGAGTAATGACAAGCAGGTAATATATTCTCAGTGTATTGATACCTAAATATGGTTACCTTGTTGATCAGTTCATTCATTCAACAAGTATTTGGAGAGTATCTGTTGTATATTTTGGTAGATGAATGACTTTCAGAAAACACTTTGTTATTAAACTTCAGACTATCTGTACTAGACATCCATTTAAAATCTTGGTAAATTTTCGGTTTTGTGATCTCTATTTCAGAAATGTGTACTATATGTACATAGATATGTTTAAAATGTTGAGATTGTTTGTGTGTCTGTGTGAACGAAAAAAAGAGCTATGATCTTACCTACGTATACCAAGCAAAATAAGCTTTATAAATTATATTTAAATCTTACCCAAACTTACGCAGTACATTGTTTCAATTTTGCAGTTGAGAAAAACTCAAGAAAAGTTAATGACACATATATAGAAATAGAAGAGCTGGAGACTAGACCCTTAAAAGGAGGGTTGAGACACAGTCAGATGTGTGTTCTCATGAACATATATGAAAAATTTATCCCAGAACATGTGTATTCTGAAAAAGACTATGCATGGATTTTAAAATGGTTTTTGCTGGGACCAGCAGGCAGACTGGTGGTTAAAGTGCTGGATTACCACATAGTCAATTCTGGTTCAAGTTCTGGACCCAAAGGCTTGAAAATCATGCTGGGCACATGTGCATGTGTGCCGTAGATCCTGAAAGGAGAATGGAAGAGAAGGGATTGTGGTGTTGCCATCCCCCACTAGGGTGTGATTTATTTCTTTCCCTCTTTCTCTCTGGTGGTCTCTGTCAAGTGCATGTACCCTTTGGCAAAAAAACTTAAACAAAACAAAACAGAATGGTTTTGCACCAAAATAAACTTGTAAATTAACTCCATGTTTCCCATTAACTGTCTATAAAGTTCCCTCATATGCATGCAGCATTGTGGGCATTTGGGAAAAGAAAATAATTCTAATAACTTTTGAAAACAATTGTTATGAGACACTCAGTATGTTGGTCAGGTATTCAATTTCATAGAATATTAAAATGCTGCAGATAAAAGTAGGCCTGAAATTTTTTACAGCATCACAACTTTTAAAAAGAAGGATAACTGAAGTCTAGGTTGTTAGCAGTGTTTTTTAAGGTAATATTCCTCCGTCTCTGCTTTGGCTCTTTGGGGTTAAAGAAAGTTCCACTTCATGATTTCAACTGAGGCCAAGTCCGGTGGACTGAATTCCACTGGCTTCTTTTTAAGATTCTAATTTTTTGATCAACAAGAAAGGCAGTTCTATTTTCTTACAAATGCACAGGAGTTTTATTCTCTATAATTAAGAAGTTAAAAGAATACCCTGGTTGTTAGCAGGTTTCTGGTCACAAATCCAACATTGACTTTCACTACTTAGTATCTCTGAGAGTTTTTTTTTCTCAACTCTGTCATTTTAAATGTGAAATGATGCTTTAGGTAGCTAGTTGACATTGATTTTAATAATCCAGGTCATGCAGTCTGACTTCAGAATCTGTAGGAGGGCCATTTTATATAAAAGACATAGGCATCTGCAGACTCTTTTTTTTTTTTTTTTTTTTTTGGGAGGGGGGAGAAGAGAGTTTTTTGTTATACGTGGGAGTCCAGCGGCATAGCCATTACGCTAACCGCTGGTTCCTAGAACAATGGTAATCTTTTAAAAAGTGGAGTTAATAACTAAGAAGGTGTTTGTTTACTTTGAAACATTTCTTTCTATCTTTTTGTCCAGGGAAAAGGAGGCAGCTGAAAGAAAAAAGAAAGAGGATGAAGAAAAGAAACACACTGGAGAAAAGAGTAATGACAAGCAGGTAATATATTCTCAGTGTATTGATACCTAAATATGGTGGCCTTGTTGATCAGTTCATTCATTCAACAAGTATTTGGAGAGTATCTGTTGTATATTTTGGTAGATGAATGACTTTCAGAAAACACTTTGTTATTAAACTTCAGACTATCTGTACTAGACATCCATTTAAAATCTTGGTAAATTTTCGGTTTTGTGATCTCTATTTCAGAAATGTGTACTATATGTACATAGATATGTTTAAAATGTTGAGATTGTTTGTGTGTCTGTGTGAACGAAAAAAAGAGCTATGATCTTACCTACGTATACCAAGCAAAATAAGCTTTATAAATTATATTTAAATCTTACCCAAACTTACGCAGTACATTGTTTCAATTTTGCAGTTGAGAAAAACTCAAGAAAAGTTAATGACACATATATAGAAATAGAAGAGCTGGAGACTAGACCCTTAAAAGGAGGGTTGAGACACAGTCAGATGTGTGTTCTCATGAACATATATGAAAAATTTATCCCAGAACATGTGTATTCTGAAAAAGACTATGCATGGATTTTAAAATGGTTTTTGCTGGGACCAGCAGGCAGACTGGTGGTTAAAGTGCTGGATTACCACATAGTCAATTCTGGTTCAAGTTCTGGACCCAAAGGCTTGAAAATCATGCTGGGCACATGTGCATGTGTGCCGTAGATCCTGAAAGGAGAATGGAAGAGAAGGGATTGTGGTGTTGCCATCCCCCACTAGGGTGTGATTTATTTCTTTCCCTCTTTCTCTCTGGTGGTCTCTGTCAAGTGCATGTACCCTTTGGCAAAAAAACTTAAACAAAACAAAACAGAATGGTTTTGCACCAAAATAAACTTGTAAATTAACTCCATGTTTCCCATTAACTGTCTATAAAGTTCCCTCATATGCATGCAGCATTGTGGGCATTTGGGAAAAGAAAATAATTCTAATAACTTTTGAAAACAATTGTTATGAGACACTCAGTATGTTGGTCAGGTATTCAATTTCATAGAATATTAAAATGCTGCAGATAAAAGTAGGCCTGAAATTTTTTACAGCATCACAACTTTTAAAAAGAAGGATAACTGAAGTCTAGGTTGTTAGCAGTGTTTTTTAAGGTAATATTCCTCCGTCTCTGCTTTGGCTCTTTGGGGTTAAAGAAAGTTCCACTTCATGATTTCAACTGAGGCCAAGTCCGGTGGACTGAATTCCACTGGCTTCTTTTTAAGATTCTAATTTTTTGATCAACAAGAAAGGCAGTTCTATTTTCTTACAAATGCACAGGAGTTTTATTCTCTATAATTAAGAAGTTAAAAGAATACCCTGGTTGTTAGCAGGTTTCTGGTCACAAATCCAACATTGACTTTCACTACTTAGTATCTGAGAGTTTTTTTTTCTCAACTCTGTCATTTTAAATGTGAAATGATGCTTTAGGTAGCTAGTTGACATTGATTTTAATAATCCAGGTCATGCAGTCTGACTTCAGAATCTGTAGGAGGGCCATTTTATATAAAAGACATAGGCATCTGCAGACTCTTTTTTTTTTTTTTTTTTTTTTGAGAGGGAGAAGAGGAGAGTTTTTTGCTATAGGGCACGTGCAGTTGCCAGAGAGACAGAAAGCAAAAAATCACCCCCTGGGGGGGTGCCCAGGCCACCATTCCTTCTCTATTCTCTTGGGACTTTGGGCATGGATAAAAACATGCCCAGAGTGAGTTTTAAGCCACCAGGTGCAGAATTCAAACTGCAGTCAACTACATGGAAGTTCAGTGACGTGACCATTATGCCATCTGCTGGTCCCAGCATCTGAAGATTTTGATATCAGGAAGGGGTTCTGGAAAATCCCCCCTTGGGTACTGAGGAATGACTATATGAACTAATCTTCCATTTTGTAAAATGGAAATGAGTGTTTTATCTTAGAGGATTGTTATGATCACTAAAGGAAATCCATTAGAGCCAGGCATTTAATACATTAACATACAACATTTAATAAAAGTTATCTAAAAGTTCATTGCTGGGAACAAAGCTGAAAGTTTACTTGTTTGTATGTATGTTTTTTTATTGGGTTGTGGGAAAACTCATGATGTATTTTTATTTGCAAAAATGTGTCATGACTTTTCCAACAACCCAATAGTTTGATTAGTGTCTTTTAGTTTGTTCCAGAGCTTTTGGATTAGACTTCTTTTATGTGGAGCAATGAGTATAGTTGTAGGGGGACAGATTTGAGGCTTACCCCTGTATGAAATTCTGTAACATGGATTGAGCTGCCTAGGGCTGTGGTGAAATTCCCTTGAGTGCAAGGCAGTCCTGGTGGAGCGATTCTTTGGAGAAGATTCCAACTTCTTAGGCAGAGAGCGAATAAATGGTCTTTAAAACACATTCTGTCCCTGAAATCTCATTTTCTTCATTTTTTTCCCTTTCATGTCATGAATTCATGTCTAACCAACCATTGTGGTTTGAGGTTTTAAAGATCAGAATATCATAGTAACACCTTTTTTGCTCCAATTGACAGGATCAGTGTCAAGAATTCCGGAGTAAGCAGTTAAACGGGAGGCTTATCTGCACCAGAGAAAATAGTCCTATTCAAGGTCCAGATGGCAAGATGCACGTCAACAAGTGTGCTATGTGCCAAAGCATCTTGTACGTAGAGGCGTATGGGTGAATGTGTCATACTGTTCCTGTATACCAGAAAATAGTTCCTGTTACTTTAAAGCCTAAGGCACTTGCCATCACACATTAAAAGTATAAGAGCTCTTTACATTTGAAGAAGACAGTTACTTTCCAAATACTTCTCATAAGAAATTTTTATTTTTTAAAATATTTTTTATTTCATTCCCTTTTATACATTCAATCACGTTATTTAGCTTACAAAGTGAATATTTCAATATGTGAACATTTCTCCCTAGTCCAGTTGATAAAACTATAAAATTATCTTCAACAGATAATACCACATTTCTTTGTCCCATTAATGCTTTGCCTCTATTTTTCTTCTAAATGTCCTTCCTCAGACTCTACTCTTTCACACACACTATATCTGATATTCGCATCCATTTACTGTATTTCTATATCCTTTAGTCAAACAGTTTCAGACATAGAGTGCGGACACTCGTATTTTTATGGCAAGAAGCATTATCATACCTGAAGCCTCTGAAGTAGAAAGACATCTATGGTAATAGTGACAAAATGATTGATTTTTAAAGAGGAAGATTATCAACCATTAAACTGGGACAGGCTAGATCAATGTGCAAAGCTTCAGTTCCTCCAAGATGTAAAGAAAACAATAAGTATACAATATATTTTTTGTGGAAATTCAAGGAGATACTATTTTTTAAAATATTTATAAACTTTAAAGCATAAAGTGTATAAAATAGTCCAAACTGAGAGCTGAATTATACTTGAATTAGAAAAGTAAAAATGTAAGGGCTGACCCCGAGGCCTAGTGGTTAGAGTTGGGTCTCATGTGGCCAACTGCAGTTTGAAGCCCAAGTCCAGCAGCTTGAAAAACACGCCAGGTACATGTGCATGTGTGCCCCAAATCCCGGCAGGATGGTGAAACAGGAGAAGGGATTGCAGCTTAACCACACCCCATTGAGGGGGATGATTCCTCCTCCTCATCTTCTGTCTCTCTCTGTCTCTTTCTGGTGAGTGCATATGCCCTCTGATAATTTCAAAAAAGAAAATAAGCCAAAGCAAAAAGGAGAAATGGAGCTACTCTGTATATGATGCATCAATATATTCTATTAAGAAAAGGAAATGATCATATTCTAGATGACAATAGAGTACCTGAATCTGTAAAAGCTGATAGCATTGTCACAAGTATATTATTAATAAACTCCAATGACCTGAACCAATTCATAAAAAAATACATATTTTCAGATTTCTTTAGGTCTGCAAGCTATTGTTAGATTTGCTAATGTTTAGAACTGAAGAAATACTTGGTTAAAGATAATTCAATAACAACTCTAAAAAAAACTTATCCTTTTTTTCATTCTGCAGTGAACGAGAAGCTGCTGAAAGAAAAAATGATGACAAAAAACCAAGTACCAAGCCCTCAAATAATGCAAAGGTTATTTCTTAAAATATGCCAAAACAACTTTTACTTTTCACCCTCAAACTCTTACATTGTCCTCCAGGTTTTGGATAATAAAGATTCTAACTTTTTACTTCAAAACATTGAATTTGCCTATCTTGTCATTTTGGATCTTAAGTCGTCTTATTTACTTTTTTATTTTTTTTTCTGGCTTTGGGGTTTGATCTTTTTCTTAATTTTATGCAGAATTCTCCTGGAGTGTGTCAGTTACTGCTTTATTATTTCCCCTTTGGGAAAAAATACGGATTGAGAAACCGAGAGTACAAATGGGTGATATAATTCTTTACCACCTTCACTACATGCTTATCTCTATTTTAAATGTGAAACAAGGCTTCAAGTAGATTGTTGACATTGATTTTAATAATTCAGATCAGAGGGTCAAGACTGAGCTTCTGCAGAAAGACCATTTTACATGAGAGCATTTTACATGCTTGAGCATGTGTACTTCAGTATTGGCCAGGGGTCCTGGAACCAATCCCTCTGTGGTACGGATAACTGTATAAATTAATGACAGCTTCCTCTTTGGCTTCACTCTTTTATTTTATTTTTGTTTGTTTTCTCCAAGTGAATTTCTCAGTATCAGTGAATCAATAGTATGCCTACCTTGATGTTGCCTTTTGTGTTTGCTTTCCAAGACTGCAAAGTAGACATCTTTATTCACTACAGGGATTTGAGGAGCCAATATTTATATATAATAGTGATCACTATATTTGTAGCATTAGAGACCTAAGATACTGTCCTTGAGTCCATAGTGCACCTCATGTGGAAAATGGGGAAAGGAAGGATGAGAGAAAGGGAGAGAGAGAGAGAGACCAGAAGGGCCACCAAGTGTTAAATTATATTTTCCTTCATTTTCAAGACCAGTTTGGATTGAAGCAGAAGATCAAAAGTATAGACAGTCTGGACACCCCTTGGCCTCCATTCCAGGATAAGTCCAGCGCTTAGAAGGACTTGCTAAAACCAAGTTTGAGAAAACCACCAAGTGAAAAAGGAGGAAAGCATACTCACTTCCCCTTCTCACTTTGTAGGATGAGTGCAGTGACTTTCGAGAGTACGTGAGGAACAATGAGCTCATCTGCACTCGGGAGAACGACCCTGTGCGCGGTGCTGACGGCAAGTTCTACAAAAACAAGTGCTACAAGTGCAGAGCCATCTTGTGAGTAAGAGGATTCTGTGCCCCCCTCAGTGAGCAGGGGAACTGCACTTCTAGAAACTGCGGTGGAATCAATATGTGTGCTCCTGACCATGGGTTTTTTGTTTTTGTTTTTATAAATAAGTCTTTAGAATCAAGGCCCTTAAGTTGAAAACACCTGACATAGAAGAAAGACTATAGACTTGGAGACCAGAAATCCAGATAGGAGTCCAAACTAAGATATTTATTAGATTTTAGTTAAAAATAACTTTTTAAACTTTCAGCATCTTAAGAGAAATTGTTTTAGATCTTTATTTTACAACTAAAATAGACTCAACTAAGAAAAAGCCTTTTGTGTGTGTGTGTGTGTGTGTGTGTGTGTGTGTGTGTGGTTTTGCGATTGGGTGCATATGCTTGCCAGAGAGATAGAAAGAAGGAAAGTGAGAAATCATCCCTCGGACTTTCGCGGGGATGGCCACATGGCAATCCCTTCTCCTTCAATCTCTTATTCATTTTGGGCATGTACACGCAACCAAAGTGAGTTTTAAGTTGCCAGGTCCAGGACTTAAACCACGGTTGACTACATTGGAGTCCAACAACATAACCATTGCATAATCTGCTATTCCCAAGAAATTCATTTTTAGAAAATATTATTAGGTTGTTCTAATAAACAGCCATATTTGGGAACCAATGGATATGATGATAATGGTTATGAAAACCCTATAAACACAACAATAATTATCAAAATTTATTTCACTCTTCACAATGGTGCTCTTTGCAGTAGGAATTACCAATATTACCCTCTTTTAATATTCTGGAAAATTGAAACTCAGAACTTTAAGCCACCAGTTTAAGGTCACATGACTACTAAGTGATAAGAGCTCCAGTAGTGTGCTTTTCTTAATATCTCATCCTGATTACTCTCTAATTCAATATTCTATAGTTTTAACAGATGGGGGGGGTGCTGAACTTCCCACTGGGACTCATAGAAACTGTTCCTTGTGAATATTATTTTAAATTATTTTTGTTTCTTCTCCAGTGAACAGGAAGCTTTGGAAAGGGCAAGACTTAAAGAAAAGCCATCCCACATTAGAGCTTCTGAAGAAGAAGATACCTCGGAATCTTCCTATTCTTCTCTGGTAAGAATGACGTATTTTGTTTGATTCTTTAGACCTGTTGCCACTTGCCATCCATAAATCCCATTTCCTTATAAGGGTCTGTGGAAGGCTGATTCAGTGCAACCTCAGGTCTTTTGAGGACTCCATGCAGTTCATGTGTAGTAAGAATGCTGAGATTAACAATCAGTGGATTATACCATGCTTTTTGAGATTATTAGTTTTGCTCCACTTCATATGTTTCCAAATTTTAAAAGGAGAATATGTGATAAACATGACTAATCTCACAAGTGGCCAAATACATAGGTTCTTCAATTCTGTAATTTCAGCAAACTCAAGAAGCTTATCACCCAGCCTCTTCTCACTTCCCACTCCCAATGGAACCCTTCCCCATTAGCCTGGAACACTATGCTGAACATGCTCACACTGGTGCAATTTCATCAATCAGCAGTTTGCAGCTGACCAAAGTTTAAAACTTTTTATTTGAAATATAGGCTGATAGTCACTAGCAATGTATGTCTGTGAAAATTCACTTAATAAAATTAGAGCTTTGGCAAGGTGAAGTGTGGGTATCAAACAATTTTACCTAATTATTTACCCTAGTCAACTAAGATAATAGATGAAATATGTGAGTGAAATATGCATAAATTATATATTTCTAGAAAGCTAGGTTCGGCATCAAGGGTTCCTAAACATGGAGAAGAGTTAGTCATAAAATCTGTAGGTTTTTTTAAAGTTTATTTTATTTATGTCTTGAAAGAGAGAGAGAAAGAGAGATTCCTGACAGAGTCTCACCATGCTGAGATCCTCCTGTCCTAGCTTCTGAGACAGCCAGGATTACAGTCACTCTCCCATGATCCTGGAGGTACAAGATAGCCCAGTATCAAAACCCAGGCCTCCCATGTGGCTCCAACATTAAACAGAAGTGTCTACTGCTTACATTATTGAAGTTGGGCCAATATATGTTCTTTTTTAATTTATTTTTTTAAAAAGCATTTTATTGAAGTATTATAGCCACATAGAAAAAGTACATGATAGTTAAATGATAGATTACAAAATCATCACACCTCTAATACCAACACTTAGGTTAAAAAGTAAGCTGTAAGTGGTAGACCAGAAATCCCCTCAGGCTCCATGCTAAACTATAATTTGGTTTTGAGCTGAGATTTCTTCTGGAGAAGAGTCACACTGGTTATTTATTTTTTTCATGTATTCAACAGTCCATCTGTGATTTCACAAATATTTATTGAGCAACTACTATTTGTCTAGGCACTATTTTTATGTGGTACAGCAATAGCTATAAACAAAACAGACAATACTCTCTACACTCAAGGAGTTGATATTATAGTGTGAAAAAAAGACAAAAATGATAGGAATATAAATCAACACAATAAAATGCCAAGAAGTAAATAAAGCATAGAAATGATATAATAGTAAATTCTAGGATGAGGGATAATTTAAAGTAACATATATCAGAAAGAACTCTCTCAGAAGGTAGTATTTGCACCAAGGCCAAAAGGGACTGATTCTGTGCGTATATCTGAGGGGAAAGCATTCCAAGAAGAAAACACCAAAGACTTGAAGAAGAGAACAAAAAACAGCAAAGAGTTATTATAGTTAAAAATAGGACAATTTAAAGTTGAACTACAGCAGAGGAATCAGAAAGGTAAACAGGAAGCCATATTGTAGAAGATTTTGTAGACAATATTAATGATAGCAATTGTTCTTTTTTTTTTTTTTGAGAGAGATTTTTGCAATAGCACATGCATTCTTTGGGGAGACAGACAGACATAAAGCAAGAAATCATTCCCCAGGGTTTTGGCCACGCTGCAGTCCCTTCTCCTCCATTCTCCTCTTGGGATTTTGGGCATGTATGCACATGCACCCAACATGAGTTTCAAACCACTGGTTCAACCATGGTTGACTAAATGGGAGTCCTGCAACATAACCATTATACCATCTGCTGTCTCAATGATAGCTATTATTCTGAATGAGCATTTTAGGAAGAAGAGTTGTTGATATGATTTATCTTTCAAAAGAATGACTACCTGTTGTACTGAAAATACACTGCAGAGAGGCAAGGGCACAAGCAGGACAGCTAGTCAGTTACTGTAATAACCCATAGGAGAGATGATACTAGTTTCTACTATGGTGGCAGTGCTGAAGCTTATGATACTGGATCTATTTTGAAAGTAGAGTCGACAGAACGTGTTCACAGTTGATGTGTCATATAAGAAAAAAAAAAAAAAAACACATTCTGCCTCTGTGCCTCTGTATGATATTTCATAATGCTTTATCCAATACTGTTTGTATTACCTGAAAAATATTATCTATATACCTATTTCACTCCTACCTTTGATACAGAGTTGCCCAAGTTGTTTATCTAAATTCTCCCTGAATATTTATTTCAGTATGGAACTCAGCACAATCTACTATGGTCCACTGAGATGTTTGGTTTCAGTGACTGTCTTTCTCTGGTGAGCACATGCACCCTTTGGAAATTAAAACAAAAAAAAAACAAGCAAACAAATGTTACTTGACTTCTCTAGAATGAATAATAACAAATATAATCTATAATTTGATATTTCTTCTTTGTGTCTTTTTCAGAAACTGGTTTTCAATAAATGTATTAATTTCATCTAAGTCATCAAATGTATTGGTATATAGTTATTCATAATATTTCTACATTATCCTTTTAATATCTGTAGTTCATATAGTGATGCCCTCTTTCTAATATTGGCAATGTGTG